GCTATATACTCATTCAATACGCCAGCACGATTCAGAATTCTTTACGCCGAAAAAACTTTAACCTTATCGTTTTATAATGAACAGAGAAGCTTTTTTGTTACCCTGAATTTTACAGGTACTGCTTGCAATCCAACTAGCAAGAAACCAATCGACCAGCGGGCCAGGTGAGACTTTTCCGACCACTGGCAAATATGATCCGTTTTGATTAAGTACATTAGTGCTATTTATTTTGCGATTGAGAAATCTCCCACGAGATGGTTTATGTTTTCTTGATGTCGGGTTGCAGACGACGTCACATGTTAAACGGAACTCTTATGATACTCATTCCAAGACTTGGCAGGTTAAATTAAATTAAATCAAATTATCAAATTTCGCGTGAACAGCTAGCTTGCACCTCATAACGACTTAGTTTCTGATCGCCTGATTAGTTTTGCCGCATCCCTTTGGTGTTCTTCTTTGCTTCCTATGAAATGCTCCTTTAATTCAAAGCACTTCACTATGCAGTAGCCAACTCAGACGATATCAAGGCTGTAACTTTTATTTTCTTGAGCTGTGCTAGGGAATTTTCGGCCAACTCAATGTTCAGCCGACGTTTGGGCGCTTTCACTTTTGTCTAGCTTAGAAAGATGTACGCCATTGGAAGGAACTGCCCTCCAATGGTAATGGAGGTTCAACTTATGAAGGTGATTCAGTGTGGTCGTAAATTACGATGAGGACTTGGGAATAGTAAAAATAAATAAGCTTCAGATAAGTCAACCCAAGAAATCCGCCGATCAACTCATGCTGGAGGGAATTTCAGCAACGTAGGGGAGGGAGTTCCTGGGAACCTTCACAAAGCTGATCATGTGGATCCTCCTCACAAACTTCCTCAGAAGCCACATGAGGTCAAGCGCGCCGCTGAATTCCTCCCGTTCACCTCCAGTCGACTGCCGGATAGTCTCTCTTAATCTGTCCCGCTTCGAAAACCCTGGAGGATCGACCGCATGGCTCAGAAGCCGCATAGTGTTTTTGAGGGTGACAGCTCTTCTTTACCGTTACATACTCCTCCCTCCTATTTATTTTAGGGGTTCTAGAGTGTATCAAAGCTGCTCATATAACTGTGATCAACAATCAAAAATACATTATTATTAGCAAAATCTCGGCGTTGAGATTCCCTGTTGTTCATTTCCTCTTCTTCCAGGCGTAGTAGTTCAAAGAGGATGCAGCACCGTGCAATGTGCTCCGAACTTCGTCTGTGTCACACGAAACACCCCGCCAGTCGGAGAATTGCCTTTCTGTGTACCAGGAAACTCTGGTAAATAACTTTGTATTGTTAGAAATCAATCATGAAAAGCACTCATGCTTGTCAGTCTCGCTCAAAATAACTAATTCACGCACAATAAAGTCGGATCAAAAGGAAAATTTCAGCTGATTGCACGCAATTACGATGCCCAGCTGGACAGACCTGTACATTCAGAGAGGTTACGAATTGTGGCAGTGCCACCTGCCTTGCTGTTGCCCAGTGTACCTCAACTGGGTGAGTTGAATGGGTTGGACTTCCTTCAGTTCGATTGGTAACTGTAGGGATGGTGGTATGTGCATTTTAGGAGAAGTCTCTTAATTTCTGGAAATTGCTTTTCCTATCTAGTGATGCATAGGAATGTAAGAACATGGATGTTTTGTTTCGTTGCACAACAAATAGAGATTCCCGAAGACGCTTGAAAAGCGGGGATTCAGCTGAGAAGCAGTGGGATTGATAATCCAGCCTGCAGCGGTTCGAAAGGGGATCTGAGGGCTGATAGATAAGCACGGCACATCAAAGACAAAAAAGGCTTCCTCGAGATGTCCGAAAACGAATGGTTTACTTTTGACTTGGCACCATATTTTAACATTCTCATAGCTACAGAGAGATATTTTCAAAGCCTTCGGGAGGTGGCTCAAATTCGGGTTAAACCGGTCAGTTGGAGTTCGGCTCACGGAAGCATTTGTAGCACAACAACGGACTTTAATCGTTGAGAAAATTCTTCTTTTTTCTAGGTTCAGACTCCTGCCTTTGCAGAGGAGTCTGAACCCAGAAACTCACGCTATATATTTGAGCTAAAAATGAAGTAACGACTCAGCTCATAAGTTGCAGTGCAGGGGTAAAATTGCATCAACAAATTCCCGTAATTTTTTTCGTATAAAATTTTAGTTCATTTCTATTTCTCAGCTGTTTATTGTATCTTATTTCAGCGGAGGAACAACCACAACGACCAGAGCCACTACGACGACCACAACTAGACTAACTACCACTACAACCAGGCCAACTACTACAACTACTCCCAGAACTACCACAACTACCACTACGAGACGCACTACTACCACCACCCCTAGGACTACCACTACAACCACTCGACGTTTCACTACTCGCCCTACAACGACTACTCGTAGAACAACCTTGACAACGACCCGTCCTACGACAACTACACGAAGATTCACCACAAGCACCACCACCAGACGTCCCACCACGAAACCCTCATATATCATCTATCCTAATATTCCTGGAATCAGATATTGCGTTGCAGACGCTTATCCGGAGCCACCTATGTATCCAGAGCCACCCTCGTATGCGCCTAGGTCCATTCCTATCTCAATAGCTTCTACGAATTCCAATCCGGGATCGTTTCCTAATTTCCCAATACCACCTCCAGGAACTCCTGCAACACGCACCCAAGTATCTTTATCTGCTCCCCCCTTGCCGGCTCCGTTGCCGGCAGGAGTTCGTCCTCCTTCAGCTCCACGAACGATAGGGTTTGTTTGTTTTGCCATTCATCCATCATCTTTACCTTGACTAGCATTTGGCCTGTATTAGTAATGGAAGCTTTTCAGAACTGTAACGGGAATCCGATCATCGCCTTCATCATCTTCCAGCCTACCGTCGTACAGCAGCCCGTCATTTTCGCCTAGTAATGATTTATTTATTCTGTAACATTTAGGTGGATTATACTTGATGATATTGAGCGCAGCGATGCGTTCCATCGATCGAGGGTGATTCTTCGAATCTCTGCGATATTAAATCGAGACTTCTTCATGAATTCTTAATTCCTAATTAATTACTGAACATAATGTTCCTCTTACAACTTCAGTAGCACGTGCTGGGGGCCTTCGGGACTTTACATGGAGAGAAGAAAACCCTTATATGAAACGTTACAGGCCGCTTGAATAGGCGCTGTTGAGGTGCATAGCAACTCATGGCCTGAAATATAAACAAACTTTAAATAACACATGGCAGACATAGTGGATTAAGCACTTGTTGCAGGCTTTCTGACGGTATCTGCTCCTGGATCTCCCACGACCACACGTGTTCAAACACCTTCGTCTCCGAGGTGAGTGATATCCACAAAAAAAGGTAGCGAACAGGGTAATCAAGCTGATCTGGCTTTGATTTGGAAGGGCTTTGTCGTGGACGTTCTCCAATGAATAATTCTTTCAGCAATCCCGGAGCAGACGCTTATGCTACTTTTTCAAACCAGCAGAACAGGATATCAGCGGGTACGTTAGTTTTTCGGTGCGGCCAGCCAATATAGTCAAAATGAAGACTTGTCATGAATAGGATTCGAACTCACGAATCATGCGAAAACGTCATATTCATGAAGCATTTTGAGAATTTCAAAACTCAGTTCCTGTCGCGCATCTCTCTTACGTAAATCTATGTTTCATTAGAAAGGGTAGAGTGACTGTAATTTTCTGAGCGTTGAGACATTTACGTGAGTAGATTAGAGTTGGAACACGTGAGGGTCAGACGATGGAATATGGTTGAACAAAACTGAAGTGATTGAAGACAGAATTGGAAATTGGCACTCAACAATTTTGCAACATAATACTTCGCCTACTGCAGCTAACGTCAGAACATCGATTTCCAACCGGCGCTCAAGGACCTTTTCCAGGGCTCCGAAATGGGATAGCAAACGATCAAAGTGAGTTACCCTACGATCTTAACGTTATCCCATGAAAATTTGGGCGAGTTGCCGAAATCCGACCCGAAATTTTGTCGATCTCACAACTGTTGAAAGCATGTCATTCAATTGTGTCAGCCAAAAACTCCAATATCTACGGAGGGGGTGCCTACTTTCCAGTGGCGCTTTTATGGAGACCCGCTTAGGTGCTGTTGATGTACGGCGATGGATTTCCTCAAAAGTACCAGCTCCTACCTGAGAAATAGTCGCAGGAAAATATCGATCACAATCACGGATATCGGGGAAAACCCAAAAATCCCATTATCCTCACTATAAATAAGGTGCTCGTGTCTGCCTATTCGTTTTTTCGCCACGAAATTCGATATTACGTGAAGGAGCATCTGGGAGAGGTCGGGTCGACTTTGGGATGAGTTGGCCGTAGGACAAGATCAACACTGCACGTCGGATTGTGAGCTCAGCGGAACTCCACCCATAGGGGGCGAGACATACACCGAAGCAGGCGGTGCCCCAGACATAACTTACTGATAAGTTTCATAACAGCCAGAAAAAAATGAGCCAAGATTGAGAACAAGTTATTAAATAAATTGGTGGACTCACCCGTTGGAGGCGGAGCACTCTCACAGTGAGCGGTACCATCTAAATGAATTCATAGCTCGATTCAGTGAAAGTGTATGGGATAGAAGAAAATAACAAAAGGATTCCGGGCTCGCTCGTTAACTCGAGAGCCTTCGAGAAAAGGTGTCCTCGGTAACTTAAAGGCCCAGTTCGCGATAATTTTGGGTAATCCAAATTATGAACGAAAAATGGAAGATAAGATGGAAAGTAGTGCGATGAAGGCGAAGGAAATGCGTGATCGTTGTTTCCAAAATGGTATGGACGAGCTATACAATGTGGATCAATGGGGACGTGTGGATCATGGTGCAAATAACTGACTACGGTATCCAAAAAATTCATTTCACTTACAAGTGTAAATAATTAAAAAACCCTAGTAGCAGCAAAAGTAGCCCATCTTTTTCGGCCTCTAGGACTAGGAACTGAGTATGGGATCGGGGAACAGAGGAAAAATAGAGGAAAAAACATGCCTTATCACTCTTCGATCAGCTGATTGTGTGTGGGTCCTAGAACGAATAGTTGCAATCTGTATTGCCTCAACACTCGTCTGACGTGACATTGATCGAGGGGCGGGAAAGCGGGGCTTTGAACTGTGAACTGCGCCATCAAAAACTTTCAGCTGTCCCCGCGCTACCATGAAAATGACGAGCCGATTGAATTCTCATCAATCTTTCCGACAAGAAAACATTCCCATAGACTCGCATTAGAGCTGAAAGTATCCCATGTTGTGGTTGTTATCTTGGAGGTTCGTTTTCTGAAATTTGCAGCTCTCTTGCCACGCGCTGAACGGTGAAGTTTAGCGCGAAGAGACGACGGTCCGATCTCACGTAGGCATTTGGAGCAACAATGAAGTCAGTAAGGCAAAACTTCCGAAGATGATGCGATCTATTTCATTATAAAGCTGCATACTAGGTAGCCCCCATGTGAATCGCAAATGACTGGCTTCTGGAAGTGCGAATTACCATGCATGGTGTGGGACGACATGATGAGAACGGACGACCTTTCACCTACTCTTTCCATTCCATTCCTTCAGTCCCGATGTGGAGCTCTTCATCTTCTGAGGCTAATTTTGGGGTAGAAATCAACGACGATGACCTTAAAGAGGGTGTGGTCTGAAGAGCTTTTCCAAGTCTATATAGAACTCTCTCTGCTCCTATTCCTCGTGGCTTGATGTTGGTGCCTAGGCAACGAGGATTTTTAGTGCTGGGGTTGAGCCACATCTTCTCAACCACAAACTTCAGATTCGGGTTGTCAAGCTTTCGTACGAATCGATGATGTTCATGGCCAAGTGCGTATTGACGGGAACCCCTACACCGCGGAAGCCTCTGCTGTCGCATGTTCCAACGAACAGTTCTATTCCAGTCTCGAGAAAAGCATGCAGCGGGCGATGCTTTTGCGTCTCGGTCATTCCGATGGAGTCGCACTTGATTCGACTAGCATGCATCAAGAATCTACGATACACGCTTCCAGTGTCAGTCCAGTGTCAGCGTTCGTTCTAACTGCAGAGACGAAAATCACTTTTCTCCCCCATGATATTGTGAGATCCACACATCGTGGTAGTGGCTGCAGTTTTTAGCCTTAGGTGGCTTCGGATCGTTAATATAAGGAAGTAAACATATTGAATTTTTAGGGTTGCGCCTTGGAATGCCAACTCGTGGAGGCAAGAAATTAGTAAGTTCTGATTTTCACTGGAAACTTCAAAGATGTGGAAAGCTCCAAAATAAGTGCTTTTTATCAATTTAGTTGTTTATGAACTACATACAGTAGCGCTCAAAAGTCTTCGGTGAAATGGTTCTTCTGCCGTACTTTTCAGTCGTAACTCATTTCCTACTGCATCTAATCATGCGAAATTTCTATATTTGGAGCGTGGATGTTTCGTGAATATTTACCACTATTAACTCGCAATCTGGTCATGTTCCAGATATGCAAAGAGCATGAACTCAAAATCGACTGTAAATGCAGATGATGGTCCTTCTAGAATCTCTTGCCTTTTTGTCATGTCCAAAATGTAGGAGTGGTAATGCCGAACACAGTGGATGAGAAAAACGCACATAAGGTGCGAGTAAGTGCAGACGTCAACAACTTCAGTTTCAGCAGAATCTGCTACTGCAACAAACACCTTGCTCTACCTGTGGATATTGCAGCTTCGCAGTCAAATAGTGTTGCGTAGGGTGAAATATGCTCTAGTTGAACATATCCAAATTTTGCGCGATTTGGTTTAATAAGAAGAAAGTTATGAACGAAAAAGCGTCAAAGCATTTCACCGAAGACTTTTGAGCGCTACTGTAGTTCTATGAGTTTCACTTCTTCGCCGCGGTGAGCCTCCTATTGTTAGGGTGTGCTGAGGGTTTTGACGGAATTCGAATACGCTAAATTTCACAGATGATGATGGACGGCGTCTGATGGTCTAGAGGCAAAGAAAGCCCCAAGGTCATCCTTGTGATGAATACTACCGCCGTAACGCTTCTATCTGTTGCTGAAGAGGACGGAATTGGTGCTGGTCCCTCGGAGCCAGGCCCGAGATGTACAGTGGGTGTGGTAGAACTCGTTAGACACCTGGGATTTTCTGAAATGTCTTTTCTGCGATATGGGACGGAAGTGTTGTAGTGACAAGTGGCGCACTATCACCACATGCATGGTCACGGATTCAAATCCCGCATCGATATCCGCTTAGGTCAGCCCAGCCCTTCTTCTCTCCGGGGTCGGTTAATAGGTACCAGACTCGTCTAGAAGGCTGAAAGCACTAACGTGTTCACGGGCTGTCCACGGCAAGTTACTATATAGGCCACACGCGCTTCAATACGTCACTACGATTCTGAATGGAAGTCGAATGTGGGGCGCACACCTCGGACGGGATCGATACACGCCAACAGAATCGTGCAGCAGGAGAACATTGACTAGCGAGACCTGTGAAGATAGCTGATTCTACCCGCTTCAGTGGTGGATCCTGGCCTCTGAAGACGGCGATTATTTGAAAAAGTTAGGCCGTTGATACAACACTGAGTTCTATCTGAAAATCTCAAACATCAGAAGAAATCCAGTAGTCAGACAAAATTGCCGAGGTTAGAACAGGGGAGAAGTTTGGAACTCCACCCTGATTGGCTCACCTTTTACCTTGAGATTTATATGCCAGCCCGATTCTGCTCTGCGAGAACCCTGTAAGCTTATTATTTTCGTGAGAGAGAGTGAAGAACGTAAATCAGACAGAAGTAGAGAGTATGCATTCAAATGCAACGAATTGAGCTGCTCAGATGTAGTCGTCTTTTGAAATGTGAATGAGTCTTTTCCTCTCTACTGAGCGGTGGACATAATTAAGTTCATAATGTATTCTGACTCAAACTACACCTACCATGTACGGAAGCCCCGATTGTGTTTATTGCTTGACTGATCTCGATCCATAAGAAACAACCAGAAAGGTATGAAATTCCCCATGGATGGGTAGGCGTCTTTCTTTGACATTCCTAAGATTCATGTGATGAAGGAACTACAGAAGTTTGCTCTCCTGTAGAAGACCACTCTTCTGCATTCCCTTGCTTGCATCTTCCCACCGAGGTTTTCTACTGCCAATTCCAGTTCACACCACAATCACCACCACCAGCTGTTCACACTCCAAAGCTTCTGCTCCACTTAGGTCCGAGCAGAAGCCTATATTCATTGTTCAAAACCACTTTTTCGTTCAATTCTCGAAATAACCAGCTGGCGTTCATATCGTTGCTGCTCCCTAGCCCTTATTATGCAGGCCAAAAGTTGAGATCGTGAGAGATTCAGGGCATTGAAGGAAGGCTTCCTCCAATTTTATTTATATCAGTGAGCTGATTGCTAAGACTTTTCGTTGCTATCTATTCTCTCACGGTTAAGACGCGGAGACTGATTAATCACACAAAATCTTAGTTTTTGTTTCGAGTGGAAGTTCATCTTTTGACACACTCCTTTCGTTAAGCCACAAGAGCACCAACCTCCACGAGAGATCCTCGCGTTATTCGGAATTCTGCTGTGATCCCATCACATTGAATTCTAGGTTTGTTAGACCATATAATGCAATCCTTTCTAAGACTATTTTTTACTTTTGTTTTAACGCAAAGCTTGCTTTGACTTGATGTTTTCGTTAACTGCTGTTATTTTGCCGCTGTCCGCGTTCCGAAGGCTCACAAGGTTGGAGGTTTGTGGAGAGAAACTTAAGTCTCAGACGAGGCTCGAAGCTGTACATACTTGTACGCTGAGGGTTCAAGGCTCGTCCGAGACTGTTATCGCCAACCTTGTGCGACTCTCGAACCTTGCTTTTTTATGTGATTCGCATCCTTCTAAAAAATGACGTTCACTCGTCCTAGGCAATAGAGATCATATTGAGTTGATACACTATTGGCATGTGCTAGCCCTTTGGCAGTTGGTGCAGGAGAGGACGTAAGTGCTGCAGGGTCTAAGTGAATCGTGAATCTCGAAGGGGCTTCATTCCATCAGGGGCACTGATATGGTGTATATAGCCATATGAGGTGAAGTATAAAGGCGGGGTCTCAGAGAACCATACAACACAGGTGCGGTTTCAAGTCCTGCTGGAGACACTATGCTTTGCTCTCGACTTGAACGACGGCTTTTGTCAAACTCTCGCATTGCAAGCCTAAAGCTATAGTCGCTAGAAAGGAAAACGAACAGGCGATGTTGTCAGTTCGCCCAAACGTCACGGTCTGCAACGCCTTCAAATTTTGTTACCTTTCAAGTTGGAGCGAGTTGGATCACAAAAACATGGAAACATGGTATCGTGGCTGACCATTAGTGTTCTATATGTGTCGGTTGAGTGATACCTTCCTTTGAGCATTTCGACAATTACGAAAGTCTCCACACCCGATAACCAGCGTAGGGTTTCTCATCATCAGGGGTAAGCCTAGCCTCACTAGATGATTGTCCGGGAGCAAAATGCTTACATGTTATCGAAACCCTCGTTTTTAAATATACTGAATGTTGTTTATAAGGCCTTTACTTACATAATTATATGAGCACTGTACACCGACTGCACAGTCGAGTGAGCTGCTCCATTCCTAACTGCTTCATGATTTTACATCTCTAATATAGAAATGGCAAGACATCGAGCTAAATAATTAGTTGGAACCTCTTATTAACTTTTCATTTCAGGAGGATTTCTCTGAGCTGAGCATTTGTTCAGCATTTTGACGCTCTTTCCTTCATCGGTGGACCTTCCAGCCGCAGTGCCTTCCCTGTGAAAGTGTTTATTTGATGATGCTTGTGATTCTCAATTTGTATATTAATCATTAACATGTCCATTGTCCAGATCTGCAAAGAACATCGTATCACAATGTTCATATTTGTGCTCAATAAATGATGAAACTATGTGATTCCCTTTTTCATCCCTGCTCAGCCCCTGGCATTGGTTTGCATTGGAATTTCACAGCTTTTGATGAGGGAGTCGTTGAAATGACGCAGAGAAGGCTGCTTCAGTTCCGATTGTTTTTCTTTTGTTATAAAACGATTCGGAACATCTTTTTTAAAGCTGATAATAATGAGCCCAGAACGGCAAACTGTACGAGGTGATGCTCTGAGATTCCTAACAATCCCATTAGGGTCAGCTAGATTTTATGAAATAAACTCATGTTAGGGTGGAGGTCGTGTCGTGTGTTTAGACTCATTTTAGGGCGGAGGTCGTGTCGTGTGTTTCTAGCGACAAATGGCGCACTATCACTCACGCCGGTCTGAGGATCGAATCCCGAAACAATATCCGCTCAGGCCGACCAAGCCATCCATCAAGTACAATTGGTCAATTGGAACCAGACTCGTTTGGGAGGATACCTTGAATACATTGATGTCCGCTCTTCAAGGGTGATTTCGCCAACCTTGCAGGACGCATCTGTGCCATTCAGTGCGGTTTCTTGCCACTTGTTGTCACCTCTGTCCAAACTGTTTTCTAAAAGGATCACTCTACCTGGCTGAGGGTCTTCCTCACGGTCTTTTTACTTTGCGGGGGTACCAATTGGTGCGACACCTGGGACGCCCAACGATTGTCATTCAGATGAGCTACAGTCCCACCCATCGTTTTTCAAGTCGTAGATATTTTCAATCACATCTTTGAAGCCAGTTCGCCTCCGAATTTTGCTAGCAGGAATTTTGTGCATCAACGTGACACCACACATCGCTCGTACCATTTTGCTCTTTGAGTGGGTGCCGGTTTTCTTTCTTCATTTATGATTATGCTCCATGTTTCGCTTCCATACACCAGTGCCGGCAGGACATGGGTGTTAAACGCAAGAGCTCTGATTTGAGCATCAATTCTTTTGTCAGTGAGAATATCACGATATCTGATGAATGTCGCACAGCCCGCCTTACGACGACGACCTATTTCGATTGTCAAATCATTGTCCATTGTGACCGCTTGGCCTAGGTAAACGTACGATGAAACTTCTTCAATGATTGAATCTTCCATGCGTAAGCAGTAGTCGCTCGCGAAACTGTTTTTCATCCACTCGGTTTTTCTTGGGTGGATCTCGAGGCTGGTAGAGCTAGCCGCATTTCTTAGGATCCTTAGTGAGCTTTCGAGAGCACACGGTTCGCTTCCAATGAGTACAATGTCGTCTGCGAACATTAGGTATTGAAGCCTTTCACCGTCCATGTCGATTCCGCAGGGCATCTGGGCGTTTCGCATCACTAGCTCCAGAGCAGCAGGAAAAAGCATAGGGGAAATGACTTTATCCTGCTGAACTCAGCGTTGTATTTCTGACTTCAAAAAGATTAACGTCGGTGAAGCAGCTCGTACTACACTGTTGATCATTTCGACGTATCTTCAGGGAACTCCAAAAGCTGTAATTGTGTTTAGCACTGTTTCAGGTTCGACTGTATCGAATGCCTTCTTGAAGTCAATGAAGAAATAGCAAAAAGGAATTGGGTATTCTCTACAACTTACTGTCAGCTAAGAAATCATCTGGATTTGGTCGATAGTGAAAAAACCTTCGCGGAAGCCGGCTTGCTCTCTGCACGTATTCATATTCAGGATTTAAAGATTACGATTCAAGATTACGCGTGAGAAGACCTTGAGCATTGTTGAGAGAACTGCAATCGGGAGGTAATTAGCCAAGATGTCGCGCGCTCCTCTCTTGTGTATCAGGATAGTAAGGGAGCTCAGCCAGTCTTTTGGAACAACGCTTGAGGCAAGCATTTCTGTGAATTGGTCAGCTAAAGGTTTCGCGAGAACTTCTTGCGGGCACTTCAAATGTTCTGGTCGTATTTGGTCTGGTCCGGGTGTCTTTCCACTTTTCATTTGACGAATGGCCTGCAGCGTTCTGATTCGAGGGCTCTTCATTCTTCTCTGTCGGATCTACCGCTGTCACTTTCTGATGGCTCCGAATACGCATCTACATGTACTTTGGAAGAAAGCAAGTCTTGGAGAAAGGTCCGGACTTCCTCTTCTATGTTTTTGCTTCTCGGTAAAACAGTGACATCCGCTTTCGTCAGGCATACAGGAGTGGTGATCTTCAGGCGAGCACTTATAAATGTTCTCTTGATGCTCTTCACTCCTCGACCGCTTCCCTTGCTCTACGTTAGGCATATTCCCGATAGTTATTTTTGACGCTGTATAGTATAGCTTTGTTGAGCACTGTACGGGCCACAGGGGGCATAGTTTTTACTAATTCCTTCCGCGTGGCCAATATCTGCAGGGTGACATCACTCAACCACTCACTAGGTTTACTCCGCACACGTTGTGACGCATTTTTGACGGCAGTTCATTATAAAGATGGTCTCTGAGTTCTCCTTCTGTGAATACACAGTGGCTCTCGAAGAAAATAGGACAGGCGCTGTCGGGTCCAAAAACTCACAGCTAGTGCAAAGTGGGAGTACCGTCACCGGTTCGCCCGGATGCCACGCCCGTCGACCGATGCCACGTAAGACGAGTGTCGAGGCGATACAGATTGCAATATTCCCTCTAGCACCCACACACAATCAGCTGATCGCCGAGTGATGAGGTGATGTTTTTCCCTTATCCTTTTTTCTCCTATTATTCTTTTTGCTGCTGCGATCCCTTGTTAAATTTTCTACCTCAGAATACTGAACAGGGTGAGCTAGTTTTGCCATTACTAGCTTTTTTTCTAACTCGTGCTTATGAGTGAATGAATTTAAAGATTGGCGACCGCGCCTTTTACATTGTCCTTACATTTACTTTCAACTGCTGTGAGACAAGCTGGTACTTGAAAACATGAAAAAATTTATAAGATTACGAAGGTTGCCTTTTATATTTCGGGATTTGAGAACAGGAACAAATACTATTTATTGAAAATTGCTTGACTGCCTTTCAAAATTCTCCACATTAAGGTCTGTACACTTTTGCACGGGCTCGAACCTATTTTCGAAGCACTTTTGCCACTCTGATTAAGGTAACTCTACAACATAGGTTCTGAACGCATTAACGGCTTCTTCAGGTGTCGAGAAACGTTAACCTCCCATTTTATTTTTTACGTACGGGATGAGAAGAAGTCACCCGGAGACTACATGGCTGATGACCTGTCAAATCGTTGTTTTGAGTGCTCAAAAATGCAGCTGTTTGAGCCGATGTGTGGGAGCTCGCATTGTCGTGGTGAAGGGTGATCCATCTTCAGCAGTTGGTTTTCCTGATTTTTTGGAAGTCACATGGCAAACAAATGGTGGTGTACCACCTAGAATTGACTGTTCTGCTTATTCTAGTGGTACGGTTGCGACATGTCCACTTTTTCCACAAAAAACAGGAGATCAATTGCTCGGAAGTGCTTGGTGCGCGGACAGCTTTTGGATTTGGCTCATCTTGAAATACCCATACGGTCGACTGCTGTTTCCTTTCGGGCTCGTACGCATAAATCCATGATCCATCACCTGTCTCGATGTCATAGACGTGTTTCGAAGCATCGCGATCGTATTTTTCGAGCATTTCTTTCGAACAAACGACACGAGTTCCTTTTTTGGAGGATTGACAAATTTTTCAAAAAGAGCTTTTTTACAATCAAATCTTTATGCAAAATTGAATGTAAGCTAGTCCCACTAATGCATAAGGTTGCCTCAATCCCACGTTAGATCACATGACGATCTTGCAGTATTAGTTTGTGCACAGCATGAACCGTTTCCGGAACGACAACTGATTTTAGACGACCTCCACGAAATTCGTCTTCGAGTGAACTACGACCTCGGATGAACTCACTGTACCATCGATAAACACTGGTCCTGGATGGAGCTTCATCCCCAAAAATTGAACTAAGTTCATCCATGCATTGCTGCTGAGTTAGTCCACGTCGAAAGTTGTAGAAAATAATCGCGCGAAAATGCTCACGGTTCAACTCCATAACTTGGCCGAATCAAAATTTTATAACTTAGTGTGAACAAAACAAATCGCGCTCAAATTTCGCAACGGAACCTCAAAATAGTCAAACTTTACTATGGTGGTGTCAGTTGCTAGATTGCTACACTAGTGTTTCCAAATCCCGAAATATAAAAGGCAATCTCTCGTACTTGATAAATAATATAAATACCACAGGAGCACGATATGGCGTTGCCCAACGGCGGGCCACGCGGTCGTCAATGGCATCGCGACTGGTCGCGGGCCCATTTCGCTCGAATGGTCGCTCGACTGATCGCGCGGGACCGTCCACGGCGGCACCCATAACTAGCGCGGCCTCCTCGACCGATTGAGCGACCAGTGGCGCGATCAGTCGAGCGACCAGAAGAGCGACCAGTCGCTCGCGAGATGGGTCCGCGACCTCGCGCGACCGATCGCGCGACCGGTCGTGGACTATGAAAGATGCCAATGGGTTAAGGTACATTTTCGCTTACTGTGGTCAGCTATTCGCACCAGAACCCAGACGCAACGATACACATTGTAAACATCGTCCAAACATCTCTTCTTCCTCATTTTTTTGTTCCTCTGCTCGTCCATCCCCTTTTTTCACGATTTCTACTAAGCACTTTTTCACTTCGGAAGCGCCGATTCGCGCACTGTCTTCGCCTTCATCGCACCATTTCCACCTTCTCTTTCATCTTTCGTCATAATCTGGATTACCCAAAAATGATGAACTGTGCCTTTTACCTACACACGGCTCAGATGAATGCTGGCCATTTCACTCGAATGTAAAGACAAGCAACTACCTCAGAGATAATTAGTTCCCCACGGAGAAAATCAAGAATCCAAGCGAGAAGAGTCACTGCTATCCTTCTGCTCTCAATACTGACTGATACTGTAGTAGTCATCAAAAGTCATCACACATTTCCGTCACTGGTAAAGATGGTAAAGATCCTATTCCCAGAGATGGAATGGTAAAAGAGTATTACCCTGAAAAAAGGCCAATGATGCACCTATTCCTAGAGATGGAATGGTAAAATAGTATTACCTCGAATTGAGGGCAAATATGCACAATTTCTTCTCATCGCTTGGTGGCAAGACATGTGTGCTTTGCTTAATGCAAGGAAAGATTGAGTTTTTTATCGAAGAATACATTATGAGGATTTTTTATCGACAATACACTATGAGGAATTCCAAGGGAAGCGATATCACCGGCATAGACGATCCTCATGAAGGCCTCTTCAGATCGCCCTAAAACAATGCGTCGAGAATTTTTCGATTAACAACTATAAAGGTCAACCAGTCGGTGGTTCTCACTGTTAGAGGGGATAGGATGTCCCTCTTTGACGTAGTGAACGATTTCGCCTAACCATTGTTGGCCTTGTTGTAGCGTTCTACCGACTATTCAAGCCAAGCCAACTCATATTTCATCCAAGGGTAAATGTGTCTGTGAGCCCGTTGGAATTGCACTTGCCTGGTGTGAAAAACATTGCACGAAGCTAAACAGAACAAATTTCATCCTTCAGCCTTTTCCAGATTTTCCCACCGAAAATCAGGCTCACACATCATATTATTTCACTGAGTTAAGCTGTTGATATAATATGGCGATCGTTTCAGGCGCCTCTAGTGTTTGTCCTGATCCCAACAATTTGTCTCAAATCACTTCTGTGGGAGTTTTGTTTTCAAAGACTTAACCATGAATTAAATTGGATAAAAGTCGGTAACTGAGTCGGAAAGCCCGTGAATTATTTCTTGGTTCAATGAGCCTTTTTTTAACGTACTTTCGTTCAATGAGATGCAGCAGTGTATGAAATGGCAAACCTCGCGCACCTCTTTATCATTAAGCCTTCTAAACCCTCTTATTCTTGCTTTTCTGAGATAAGCTAAGGCTGTTGACCGTATTCTTGGTGATATGGATAAAAAGGATCGTACACTTTCGCGTGACTATTGAGTTTTAATTGATAATTTTTCGTAATTATTCGAAGGGCGGAGGCGGTGTAGTGGCAAAAGGCGTACTATCTCACACACACGGTCAAGGGTTCGAATCGCTCAGGCCAACCAAGCCTTCCATCCCTCCGGGGTCGGTTAATTGCTACTACATTTTCTCGTCTGGGAGGATAAAAGCACGACTTGTACATAGGCTGGCCACATCATGTCATTGTATAGGCCACATACGCACTCATTTACGCCACTGCGACTCGGAATGGAAGTCGAGTGCGTGGGCGCATCCCTCAGACGGGATTGATTAACGTCAAAAACCTCATCCTTTTATCCTTCATTCATTATTTCAAAGGGTTTCAATGCCTGCCACTTTTTCTAACGAGTTTTCACTACACATTCTCCACCTC